CATCTGAATATTGGGCACTATTTTTGTTTATGATCAGAAGACTGAATGCGGATAACCAAATAATATTTAAGATGTTTTTCATCTGATTGAATTTAATTGCTCCATTTATTATACGAAAAAATGAAACAAAGGTTTCTTAATTTATTGACCCTAGACTTTTTTATTTTTTAAAAATGCAATATGACCGAAATATAAACATTCAAAAAATAATTTTTTTTACTAATTTTAGTAGAAAAATTAAGGCTGACAAAACATTTGCTGCCTTTATAAACTTTAATAATACGATATGTATTTTATAATCTGATTACTTTTTTTTATCAAACATAAACCTATCATACTTGAAATATTGTACAAAAGTATATATGTTTAGCTAAATTTCATAACACATGACTAAATATTTTAATGTATTACTTGTTTTTTTTGTAACGGTTACATTTTTATCTGCCCAAACGCCTACACCAAATGATTGGTATTACGGCAATCCAGGTGAAGGATTCAATGGTATATCCATGCACAAGGCATACAATGAGTTTCTGAAAAATAAAAAAACTCGCACTGTGGTAGTTGCTGTAATAGACTCTGGTATCGATATCCAACATGAAGATCTTGCAGCAAATATCTGGGTAAATCCCGGTGAGATTCCAATGAATGGCATCGATGATGATAAAAATGGTTATGTCGATGATGTACACGGGTGGAACTTTATAGGTGGACCTGATGGAAGTAATGTTGGACCAGATACTTATGAAGCGACAAGAGTGTATGCTAGCCTTAAATATAAATATGGATCTGCTACGCCTTCTACACTAAATAAAGAACAAAAGGCAGAATACGATACTTATATCAAAGCAAAAGAAACTGTTGACAAAGAAATAGAAAAGGCAAAGGCATCACTTGAAAAATTGGACAATGTAGAGAAGAAAGTGACCGAAGCATTTGCTAATTTAGGTAATTCACTGGGCGACAAACCATTCAATAAGGAGAATGTAGAAGCTATGGATGCTACTGCTAGTCAAGAATTGACCATGGCAAAGACGCTAGCACTTCAATATTTGATGGACAATGAAGGGATGACACTCGATGATGTCACTTCAACAATCAAAGGTGAACTAAATGAAGATAGAAAATATTTCCAAAACAAGTTGGATTTTGCGTACAATACGGATTTTGACCCACGCAAGACCATCGTTAAGGATAATTATAATGACCCAAATGAAAAATATTATGGAAATAATGATGTAGAAGGTCCAGATCCATTACATGGTACGCACGTAGGTGGAATCATCGGTGCAGTCAGAAACAATGATCTAGGTATGGATGGTGTAGCACCAAACGTAAAATTGATGTCTGTAAGAGCAGTGCCAGACGGTGACGAAAGAGACAAAGATGTAGCCAATGCCATCAGATATGCCGTAGATAATGGTGCAGATGTGATCAATATGAGTTTTGGTAAAGGATTCGGTACACATAAGCAATTGGTGGACGAAGCTGTCCAATATGCTGCTTCCAAAGACGTATTGTTGGTACACGCTGCGGGCAACTCAGCGCAGAATAACGATGTAACGACCAATTATCCAAATGCAAAATTTGAGAAGAAGACAGGATTTTTGTGTAAAAAACAAAAAATGGCCAAAAACTGGATTGAAGTAGGTGCATTGAGTTATAATACAGGAGAAGAAGCAGCAGCACCATTTTCCAATTATGGTTCTACTCAGGTGGATTTGTTTTCTCCAGGTATGAAGATATATTCTACAATGCCTAATAATGAATATGCACAACTCCAAGGCACAAGTATGGCATCTCCGGTAGTAGCCGGTGTAGCAGCGACAATAAGATCTGTATATCCATCACTTACTGCTGAGCAAGTAAAAGAAGCCATCATGAAGTCTGTGACTCCACTGACCCAAATGGTCAAATTGCCAGGTAGCAAAACAGATACTATTAGTTTTAGCAAACTTAGCGTCACTGGTGGAACTGTAAATCTCGATAAGGCGCTTCAATATGCATCTACCATGAAAGGTAAAAAGAAGCATTCAGAAATCAAAGCTTGATTCGCGTCGAGAAATAAAATATAGGATTAATAGCCCAAAATTTGGTAATGGTTTATCAGATTTTGGGCTTTTAATTTAACATAAAACTGAAATCAAAAAATGGGCTTTGTTTTTATCGTATCGGGTACTATGATAGGACCCGGTGATAGTGGTTTTATAGGCTTTGGTGGAAATACGATCGAGTCAGAAAGTTGGAAATTGATCTCTGCCGAAATGAGTGAATCTACATAAACCTTCGCTTTTTCATAGACATCGCGCTGGCAATTGTCAAGGATTTCTTTTTTATATTCATTTTTCCGCTTTTCAAGTGCATTTTTTATTTTCTCATTATGTATCGAAAGATCCTGCTCTTCACTACATGACACAAGCAAAATTATAGCAATTGACAGAAAACAAACTCTCATTCCGTAATATGGTTTTTCATGATGAGCATTTCTATTTCTTTCAATCCTTCCTTGCGTAAAGAATCCACAGTGCGCGCAAAAAGGGTATCTTTATCAGCAATACAAATCGAATCAAGTTGTTTGCGGTAATTGTTCAATTGATTATTAAACATTGTATCTACTGCATATTTTTCTTCTGGTGTCAATTCTTTGGCATCATGCTGGCAGCTGGCAAGCACGATAATGGAACAAAAAACACAGATGGACAATAACAATTTATCGGTTTTCAAAATCTAGCACTTTTCTTTTAAGCTCGAAATTTTTACCAAGATAGACACGTCTGACTACTTCATCTTCAGCCAGTTCTTCAGCGGTACCTGCCTTGAGGATATTGCCTTCAAACATCAGGTATGCACGATCAGTGATAGAAAGTGTCTCCTGTACATTGTGGTCAGTGATGAGGATTCCGATGTTTTTAGTTTTGAGTTTTGCGACGATATATTGGATATCCTCGACTGCGATCGGATCGATACCAGCAAATGGCTCATCCAATAGTATGAACTTGGGACTCGACGCAAGTGAACGTGCGATCTCTGTACGACGACGTTCGCCACCAGACAATGAGTCTCCTGAATTTTTTCTGACCTTATCCAGTCGAAACTCAGAAATCAAGGATTCTAATTTGTCTTTTTGTTCTGCTTTAGAAAGTTCAGTCATTTCCAGCACAGCTTTGATATTATCTTCTACCGATAACTTGCGAAATACACTAGGCTCTTGAGGCAGATATCCGACGCCTTTCTGTGCACGTCGATACATGGCATCTCGAGTTACTTCTTCATCATTGAGATATACATGGCCTTCGGTAGGCTGAATGAATCCTACCATCATATAGAATGTAGTGGTTTTACCAGCACCATTCGGACCTAATAGCCCTACAATTTCTCCTTGATCTACATGGATAGAGACCGATTTTACAACTTCACGTTGTCCATATATTTTTACGAGCTTATCAGACCTGAATATCATTGTCTTATTTGTAACTTATTAGTGGTGTTTAAACCTTTTAAATCGCCCTTTTGTTCAACAATCGGTTCTAACTCTTTTTTGAATGATATAGATATTTCCGTATCTTTATTTTCTCTGAGCTTTTCCCTTTTAACCAAAACATAACTTTCAGGTTGATATTTTTTTGTAAAATCAGCTGGATCCCATTGGCCGTTTCTGTTTTTATCTTCTATGATTTCTATATTGTATTTATCTGGAATCAGCGACTTGAAAGCAATTTCAAAAGAAGATGACTCGTCGATAATCAGCTGTGTGATCTGAGTCTTGTCTCTATAAAGTCGGAGGATATACACTTGTGAACTGTCAAGATCAGAAATTTGCACTATCAGATTGGCTGATTTTTCTGCAGTCAATATCGTAAAAGCATGTCCTGTGCTATCGAGTGGAATTCCATACATATTATAAATCGCAGCACTATCGAGTTCTAAGATATAATTTTCGCCAGCCACCCAAGGGTACTTGATGATGAGCGACTTTTTATCATTAGATATTTTGTACACCACATTATCTAGCAATCCAATCGTATCATATAGCAAGATAATAAACACCACTAATAAGTTACAAATAAGACAATGATATTCAGGTCTGATAAGCTCGTAAAAATATATGGACAACGTGAAGTTGTAAAATCGGTCTCTATCCATGTAGATCAAGGAGAAATTGTAGGGATAGTGTATGACTTCATCATCGGACAAGGTGTAGGGCAACTTATTTTCCGGTGAAGAATTGCAATTGAGTTTTATTTTGCCATAAGATTTGGAATCCACTGATTTGATGCGAAAATCTGGAGTCGGCAGCGATGCATGTAAGATCAAATCTGAAATAGACGTATCAGACAAGATGATCAACGAATCAGCAAACGCAATCTTTTCATTTTCAAGGTCATAGATGTAATTGAGATTTTCATCTTTGATGGCAAATAATCTGAAAGTGTCCGATTTTATATTGGCAAACGAAAACACACCATCTTTATCAGGTTTTGCAAAGTAAAATGGTTTTTCTTTTTTGACGATCGTATCCGCCGTCTTGTCGTACAAAAATACGATCATTTCGCCTTCTCCTTTATGACTTTGTGCATTGATAATCTTGCCAGCTACATTGAGACTATCTAGAAAAAGACCAGTAGAAAAGACGTACGTGAAGTTGCTCAGCTTGTTGCCTTCATGGTAATCTACAATGGCGTCTCCAAAATTGATGGTATAAGTCGCATCATCTTTGAGTACTTCTTTTTCGTCAAATATAAAACTCAGTCTTTTGCCTTTGGCTTTGATTTTGGGTATGTAGGTGAGCGGTGGAGAGACCAGTACTTGTTTGGTTGCATCTTTCACTTCGATAAATTCATCGAAATAAAATACCAGTTCCCTAGGCTTGAACTTGACTTGACGGCCAGCTACTGAACGGAGTGAGTCCATGACAGGTGGCTTTTCATCTTTTTTGCCACCAGAAGGATTGCCTGTACTCGCACAAGAATACAGACACATGCTAAGCACAATACCGTAAAAGATAGAGCAAGCAAGTGACAAATGTTTTTTCAGATGATCAGAATAATAGGACAATGGTATCTTTTAAAATTATTAAGGTTAAAACGAAAACTATCAAAGAAGTATTTGATTTCACCTATTAAAATTTGGCGATGCAAATATAAGTAATGTTTGTTATTATAGGCAATAATGGGGAAATAGGTGGTGGGAAGGATTTTTGTAACTCGGATTTTAATTTGTTTGAAAAAAGAAAATATCAACGAAACATAGTTTATTCAATATCATATTTTTGATTTGTGCTTCAACTCTTGAATGAAGTCTTGCCAGTATTTTTTTGTCAATATTCCTAAATAAAATCGATTTTTCATCTTATTAAATTCCCCAACTGCTTGCCCAAGCAAACAATCGGGGAATTAAGGATGCAATAATTAATCATGAATAGAAGCCGAAAGCGTATTTGATTTAATACCATCAGCGACTCTCATCAATTTGATAAATTCAGTTCGATATCCATCATCGTCTTTGCCTTTTGCTGCCGTTGCCATATCAATCATCGGAGCGAATGATTTTGATGACAAGGTCTGCCCATCTCTCAGCAAAAGTCCACCATAGGCTACAGCGATCGCAAATCTAACATCATCATTGAGTTCAGACTGTGAGACCAATGTATTTTTGATAACTTGTTCCCATTTTTTACTTTTGTCAGCATCAGGTTCTTTATACCTAAACTTGATCGTAGCTAATTCATCTAAGTTACCAAGGTTTTTATCTTTTTTGGAATTCGATTGGTATTTTAATGGATCCACGCTCAATATTCCATCAGCCGCAGAAGCTGTTGTCCCGATCTCATAAATGGCTGTCATCTGGTGACCCAATCCAAGCTCACCGCCATCTTTGGCATCATTATTAAAGTCTTCTTTGTTGAGCATTCGATTTTCATATCCTACGAGTCGATAATAGCTAACCGTAGCAGGATTAAACTCTATTTGAAATTTAACATCTTTGGCAATGGTATACATAGTACCTCCGAATTCATTGTGAAGTACTTTGTTCGCTTCTTGCATATTATCAATGTAGGCATGATTTCCATTTCCTTTGTCAGCTAAAATTTGCATTTTATCATCTTGGTAATTTCCCATTCCATATCCGAGAACAGATAAAAAAATACCTGTACTCCTTTTTTCTTCAATCAATTTTTCGAGAGACTGATTGTCGCTAATACCTACATTAAAGTCACCGTCTGTAGCCAAAATCACTCGATTGTTACCTTTAGTAATAAAATTTTCTTTTGCTATTTGGTAAGCTGTGATAATGCCCTGAGCTCCTGCGGTAGATCCACCAGATTCAAGTCCATCGAGAGCCGCAATGATTTTGGCTTTCTCTGAAGCCTTGGTAGATTGTAGTGCTACTCCAGCTTGACCAGCATAGGTTACGATAGCCACTTTGTCATCTGGACGCAATTGTTCGAGAAGGATTTTGCATGAAGCAATCACTAGTGGCAACTTATTATCATCAGACATACTTCCAGATACATCTATCAAAAAGACAATATTTGAAAGCGGCATTTTTTTGACATCCATCTTTTTGGACTGTACCCCGACATGCAAGAGTTTCAATTCTTTATTCCACGGACAGTCTGTAAAATTTGTCGTGACGCCGATGATGTCCTTGTCTTTTGGTGCAGGATAATTGTATTGAAAATAATTGATCATCTCTTCGATTCTCACCGCATCTGCTGGTGGCAATTGACCATAATTGAGCATTCGTCGAACATTGCTATAAGCCGCTCTATCAACATCTAACGCAAAGGTAGAAAGTGGTTCGTCAGTGACAAATTTGAATTGGTTCTCATTAATTTTGGCATAGGATTCGGTATTAGGCGTATTATTACTTATTTCACTCTGTGGTATTAAATTGCCGCTTACACGGACTCCATCTAGAAAGTATACTGTTTCATTAGACCTAGAACCTCGGACAGAAATTTCTGCACCAGTAGAAGATGAGATCCCAGCCACAGTTGTAGTTATGGCATCTACTGATTTGGTGGGCAAAGTTCTTATCTTTTCGGCTGTTATTGTTGTTCCTTGACTAGTATTATCAATTTCTACAAGAGGAACTTTGTATGCTACTATTTGAACTTCATTCAGAATATTATTATCAATATTCATTTTCAAATCCAGTCGATGATCTTTTCCTAGCTTGATCTCGAAGTTTTTGATCATTATGGCTTCGTAGCCTACATACTGTACTTCAATATCAATTAGTCCAACTGGAGGAGCACTAAAAAAATAATTGCCATCTATATCGGTCTCTGTTCCTTGTATAAATTTGCCAGCTTGAAAGACCTTTACGGTTGCAAAAATCAATACTTCTCCTGATTTAGAATCGGTTACTTTACCACTTAAGTTATTTACTACAGGTTTTGTTGGGTTTGCGAACAACATAGTTGCTACTACGAATAGAGTTTGGATAAAAGTCATCATATGTTTATTTTTTTAATAACGGTGAATGAATTATAATAAGTCGTTCGAACTGTTACAAATGTAGGCTAGTTTTGATTATTAAG